CGGCAAGCTGTACCCTAACAGACTCTTTCCATGAATCATGCAAAGGACGGCGACCATTCTCTCATACTCATATGCGATAAGCTTTGCGGTAATGAACTTGACCTCTTTATCTCCACCGTAACGTTGACGAGGTGAAGCTGTCTGGTCGTCGGCAATGATTCCAAGCGTTACGCACAAGGCAGGGGTCTTGCGATCTCGTATAAACACCATAGGCCCCCCTTTTGTTTGACCAGGTGTCTTCTTACTGACAAGAAGCGATGGATCGATACGAGAAAGGTTGATAACGTTCAGACTATAGTCTTTCTCAAAGGTCACCAGCCCTTTGACATACCTGCAAAACTAAGTATAAGTATACCGTTTATGAAAAAAGAAAAGAGGATATACTTCAAATCAATGTCGGGATGGACGGTTTTAATACTTGAGAAGAGTATCATCCCATTTCCATCCTCATCTTCTTTGTCGGCATCTCCTTTCCAGGAGATAAACTTCAGGCCGCTAGATTCAAAGTAAGATGTATGACGACACGTCAATGCCAATTGACTTGCCCAGGCAACTTGGTCAGCTTCTTGTAGGAACTTTCAAGAAGAGGGTCAACAAGATCTGGAGCAGATACGTGACACTTCGACAGCTTGGGATAACTAGGGTTGAGAATCAGAGTAAATTCAAGTAAAAGAAGTTGAAATAATTGCCTAGCGGGCGGATCACGGTCAACATCTTCTAAAAAAACAACCTTTTTTTCACTGATATTGGGTCAACATGGATGAGAGAGAATAAACTCAAACAGAGCACGAACGTGATCTCATCGTCGGACATTGTGGCATCGTTATGGAAAACATCTTGAGCACCTTTCTTCTTCTTGTATGCTTGGACGCTCCCTTTCGCCTTCAACCTGGAACAAAATTGGAGACGATCACCTTCTACTTCATGAAATAAGTCAAGCGTACACTGAGGAATCAAAGACAAGTTGCCGGGTCTTATTTCTAAAGTGAAGGGTTTAATTGGCGTTCAAATTAAAGAAAAAAGGAAAGGTGACATACTTTTTTCCTGTGGGCGTTGGTGATTCGTTTCCAAGTTCACTAAACCCCATAACATATGTTTCCATAAGATAGCCTTGGAATGAATATACAAAAATACCTTGGATCGTCGCTGTCCACGGATTCCTGTTCTAGTTCGTCATCATCTTCGTTGATGGCAGCGCTAGAGTAATGATACAATCAACAATTCTATATAGGAGATCGAGCGGGCAAAGGTTGACATACACTTTACTCTTCTTAGCTGAAGCCGCCTTGCTGGGAGAGGTTGACTTGTTATTCACCGCTGGAGTGGTCTTGAGCTTAGTGGGAGAAGCTGCCTTAGTTGCCGCCTTCGCTGGGGTTGCTTTCAATGGCGTGGTGGGAGGCTTCTTAGTCGCGGAGGGAGCTACACGGGGCTTCTTTGGACTGTCGTGAATGGGACTGGAGATTTTGAGGTGAGCCATAAATATAAGGAGATAATGTCATACTAACATACCTTGCGATGAAAGGTCCATCCGAATCAGAAGCCGCGACCTCGTCAATGGGTCGCTTTTTCCCTCTGCGCACAACAGTTAGATTCTTGATAATATAGATTACGAGTCCTCTGAGTTTACGAAGAGACTCGTTTATTACCTGGGATCTCGAGACTTTTTTCAGCGCGGTAACACTGAAATTTGACTTTCTCCCACGAAAATGATTTCTTCCCACAGTTGAACGCCTCATCCTCCTCATTGTATTTTCTAGTCAAATCTACCAAATCATTGCTTAACACTTGCTTTTAGCACCCTAAGCATATGAATAGTGATGCCTCTGCTCTCTCTTTACTCAAATTATTTGCTAGCCCTGTTCTTGCAAGCTTCCTCAACATTTCCACAGTATTATCAACCCCATTCAATTATATTTCTTTATATTCAATGTATAACAATCAACCAAGGCCTCAACCTTTTCATAAACAGTTTTGTTGATCATATTCAGGGAGTTTGGGAGTATCCGAAGAAGCCCACATGCATGCCAAACAGATGAGATTAAGGTGCTGAGCGATTGTGAGCATAAATTCAAAAAGGCAAATATACAATTTGACTTACCTCCATGAGGCCTCAACCATTTCACAGACGGTTTGGTGGACCGTTTTCAGGGAGTCTGGGGGTATCCAAACGAGCCCATGTGCATGCCAAATGGACCAGATTAAGGTACTGGAGCTTGTGAGCATATGTGCAAAAAAGCGAATATACAAAGTGA